TCTAACTTTCCAACTTTCCCCCAGATATTTTTCTAAAGTCTAGAATCTAGACTACTTTCAAATCCTCATATCTCTCTTCCCAACTTCTTTCTCGTTTCTGGTGGATTCTCTCTTTTTAGAACTGAAGCTTTCAGAGTATAATACCCTGTACACCTTCTTGTCCCTTCTCACAAGCTCAAAACAGAGAAACACATTGTACATACTAACCCCCAAACCAGCCTCTCCTATTCATAACTGTTGGTAAGTGTGGAGAAGAGACTGTACTGTGAGATGACTGTCGTCTGTCCTGCAGGCTGGACCCAGAACAGAAAGGAAGTCGCTTTCCACAAACACCCCTTACAGACTGTCTGATCTTAATTGATGTTCTCTCTGACACAAATCAGCACCCTTCCCTTGCCTCATACTATGTGCTGGTGGGTCCTGGAACAGACTGTTGTCCTGACATGGTCAACATAATTTCCATTCCTGGCAGTATTCATGTACTAGTACCCGTGACTATTCCCCAACTTTTGCCCTACATAATTCTCTGGTGCCTGCCAAGTAGCATAGGGATCCATTTAGTCTTGCAGTTGCCCAAGACAGCCTCATGTGTAAGTTTCTCTTAATAAACTCTATTAATTAACAGATTGGGGTGCCCAGCCTCTTTCTTCAGTCTTTCCCAGGCCTCCACTTACAGAGGTAGATTTTCAGTCTCTGGTCTTTCCCCAGGTCTGTGTGTACTAACATTAAGTGATCCCTCAACTTTGTAAAGACAGAACTTTTTGAGAACACCAAAATATTTTAAGGGTCAAAATATTTTGAGGGCACAATAGTGGGTTGAATTTTTGTTATCCAACTTTTATTCAATTTATAGACAGTGCTTAGATTATGAATCTATCAGTGGATACACTGTAAAAACTTCACAGTCCATAGGTTAGGGACCACAGCTCCAGAACTCAGCTTTTCAACTCTGTCAGCAGCCCCCGGTTCCACAACACTCCCTCCTTTGTTGGTATACTTGCCCTCGCAAGCCCTCAAACTCAAGTCCTCCTGCTCCATGTACTCAACATCTCAATGACTTTATTATAGCTGAATGCAATTAACTTCCCTCTGCAGTATTAAACATAGGTGACCTTCTACTTTTATAGACTCTGTCCAAGGCAATACTACCTTGGAACTCTTAGGCCTCAGCCCACTGGTCTTTGATCTCTTTTCCTGGCACTTCTATTTCTTCTTTCAAATCCACTGACAGTAGTTCCCAATTTCTTTGTAACTCCATTGACTATTGAGTAACAAATTCCATCAATATCTTTCACAGTGCACCAGTTCTCTACCAACTAGCACTATTCCTCAACATAAAAGTCCTGCTCCATCATCTGGAATGTTCCTGGCCTAACCAGTCTCTGAATTTCTATTCATTCCATTCGAGGTCTGTAAGATACAAACAAGCACTGTGTATTATCACCCACACCTGTTTCACGTATATTCATTGTTTTCTCAAATCAGACAGATATTTCTTAAAGGCAATTCCCTGGTTTCAGTCATCTCTCCAAAGGGCAGAGTGCCAAATAAGCCAACACTCCTAACACTTTCTAGGTACCTGAAATGTACAGTCAGAAATTCCCAAACCAAAAAATAAGAACATGATTTTGAAGGATGCTAAAAAAGGATGAGGTGAAGGAAAGTTTCCATAATTAAAGGTTTAAGAAATACTGGTTACAGCAAGGGTGTCCAACCTGTGGCCAATGCGCCCGCATGTAGCCCAGGATGGCTGTGAATGTGGCCCAATACAAAATCGTAAATTTACTTAAAACATTATAAGATGTTTTTGTGATTACGTGTCACAATTATGTTTTAATGTGTGGCCCAAAACAACTCTTTTTCTTCCAGCGTGGTGCAGAGATGCCAAAAGGCTGGACACCCTGGTACAGGTTAACAGGTTTATTTGTAGATCCTCCTAGAACCTTTAATCTTGCTTAGTGTAAATCTCCAAAAGCAGAATTTCCCAAACTCTTTCCCACTTTTTACTGCTCATTACCAGAACCTATTGCCTCTCCCTTTCCAGGGAACCCAACTGAAGAAATGCTTATTAAGCAATTAATTATTTTCTTCCAACTATTTTATATCCAGTATGAGGATATGTTAATAGTACTGGTTTTAAGATTCATCCTAGCAGCAAGTCTCAGCATCCCTCAATTACTCCCAAAGCCATTAGACAATATAATTACAAAAAACTTTTTAAGGATTCATTGCAGGATACTTTTAAATTACAGTTAGTTCCCTCACTGCTTTTTTCATTTTAAAGACTTTTTATATATTTATTTTTAGACAGAGGGGAAGGGAGGGAGAAACAGAGGGAGAGAAACATCAATGTGTGGTTGCCTCTCTCGCACCCCCTACTGGGGACCTGGCCTGCAACCCAGGCATGTGCCCTGACTGGGAATCAAACTGGCAACCCTTTGATTCACAGGCCAGCACTCAATCCACTGAGACACACCTGCCAGGGCCCTTACTGCTTTTAAATATAACTTCATTCACAAAAATTGTATTTATATACACCATCATTTATTTTTAAAAAAACAGCAAAAACTGTTTAAAGATGTGGGTAGCTTGGATGACTTGACATTCTCACCAAGCCACAGGTAAAACAACTGAAAAAGAACAAACTGTATTCTAAAGAGCCAAGAGTAAGTGGAAGGTAAAATAAATTAGGTAAATAGACACTATTCTCTGGGAGATGCAAGCACAACACTTACAAGCACACTAAGGTTCCAAGAAGTCCTTCAATTAAAAAAAAAGCCAGCTCAACATTGTTTAATCTGTTGCCCCCCAAGTTTACTGGACCATGGAATATTTATTTTTCTGATTAATACTTACTAACATCCTATTTCAACATGGTCAACGTAACAGTTTTGTCAGTATATCATATTTTTAAAAAGCATATACAGGATTGTTAGCCCTCATGCTTACACTTCGACATGTTATAATGTTGAAACAATATAATCTTTTAGAAAAATATGAACTGGCAGCAGGTAATCAAAAGGTAAATCTCTAAATTTTCCCATCTGATCTCATTCCCCAATTTCTCTGCCTCAAAATTTTATTTCAATGATTAAGATATGGGAGGAAAATAAAGACAAACTCCTGTTTTAACAGTTAACCTTCATAATTTAAATTAGAGGGAATAAATGCCGGACCTTATTCCAGATTATGCAAAATTGTGGTCTGGGTTGGCTTAAAAGCAGGACCTCAAAAAATGCTTCAAATACTAGTTCTTTCTTTATTGTTTATAACCTGTTTCCTCAGCAATAAAACTGTGGAATGGGGATGTTGGCTAAGTGAAAACTCGTAACATCCAGTCTCCACCCTAAAAGTCTCATTCTACCCTGCATCTTTTCTAAACTACATCAATTTTTTCATAGTACTTTGACTTCCTTTTTCCTGGATCATGTTGAGGAAATGACCTGCAACCAGAAAGCCAGGTACTTAACTAGGTGCACACTTCATCATTCAGGAAAAGTTAATAACCAAATGAAGCACAATGAAGATTAACCAGTTTGCATAATCACTACTTCACAGCTCCAGGCTAAATTATGTGTTCTTGCAAAACCACTCTACTAATTAGACACATTAAAAGTACCTATATCTGATGCTCAAGTCCGCTCGACCCTAATAATTTCAGAAAGCAACTTACAGGTTTTCTAGTTTTGTTTTTTTAAACTACTCTTAAATTTAAACCTGCTCTTCCTTTTCTGAAGCTGAAAGTAACATAATGTTAAATACAGGAAAAATATACACTAATGAGAACGTGGCCACCTCCTGCTCAGTTATTGCAAAAGGCTACAAAGAATAAGTTTCCCAGATAGTTTCAATTCATGGCTTAGTTGAGCATAGTCCCACAAAGTGAAAGGTGGCGGGTTTGAGTCAGGGTCAGGGCATATGCCTGGGTTGCAGGCTGGTCTCCAACTGGGACTCATGCAAGAGGCAGTTTATTGTTGTTTCTCTCACACATCGATGTTTCTATCCCTCTCTTTTTCCCTCCCTTCCCCTCTCTAAAAATAAATAAATAGAATATAAAATTAATTTAAAGTAAATTACAATTGTTTTTTCCCCCTTCAGAGTAAGGTCAGTTGTAAATTTCAATAAGAAAGGTAAGGATACAATTTTTTATACTGACAGTGGCCAAGTTAATACCAATTTCAGTGCCTATCAGTCATTTCGGATATAATTCTGACAATTTCTTTTAGCTACATTAAAACAACTAAGTCTCGAAACATGGAATAAAAAGGTCCTAACAATGTTTTAACTGTTCCAAGCAAAACATTTGTGAAAGGTGCACTAACATTTTTCGTGTTTTAAATGGGTGCACATGCAAGTGATAATGTATGATCTATCGCCATGGTCACTTCTGGGTCTCTTCCACCAAGTTATTAATTAGTGATGGTTTCTGTTGAGACGGGGATGGCAGGAAGTAAGATCATGTGTAATGTCACTGTCATACCTCTGGTTATAGTTCTGTTTTCTGTTGGGTCTGACCGAACGACAGTAACTAAAAATAAATATTGTTTTAAAAGTAAATCCTAGGAGAATACAAATAAGTTCAAGAGACCTCGCCTGATGTTCCATGTTCCGCAGGTTGCCTCACTCACCTGGTGGACTCTTGGCGAAGACACCCTGTCCACACCTCAGTTCCCTCAGCCCTCTCCCCTATTCCAACACAAACATCTCTTCCCTCTTGGATCCCTTCTCCGCACCCAGCCTCCCCCTCTGCTCCCCTAGATCCTCTCTAGGGTCCGCCCTCCTCTCAGGTACCCTCTCAAGTCCACCACACCACACCCCCCCACACCGCCCCAGTTCGCAGAGGCCGGGCCGGCCCCAGCACCCGCGGCCACCTCAGGACGCCCCCCCCCCCCATTACTCTGACTTCGCACACTCCACAGTCCCCGCTCCCGCAGGCGCCTCAGGCCTGAGCAGCGCACCCCAGCACCGCCCCGCACACGCCCCCCACCCGCGGTCCTTACCACACATGATGCAGGAGGCTTGGTCCGCAAGGCGAGTGATGAAGGGCTGCGAGGTCGGACGTCCACAAGAGCCTGTGGAGCTATCGGCGGGCTTGGGAACAGAGCTGCAAATACGGACTCCCAAAGGTACGCGACCGTAGAGGTAAATGCTTTCTTGGCCTCCCAGACTCGCCAGCAACTGCCTCTTGGGCCGCCCCCCTCGCCTCGCACTGCGCAGCCGCCGCTGCCACCGTGCGCAGATCCCATTGGGTCGCAGCCACACCACTCACGCGCAGATCCCGCCTCCCGCCCAAAAACCCACGCAAGCTCTGCCCCGCTGGCAACGAGGACGTGGCAGCGGCGCGGTAGCATCCGCCAGAGGTTCCTGGAGCCGCCTAGCCCCTGGCGAGTAGCAGCAGGCCTGGCGCCACGGGGAAGAAAGAAACTTGGTTGCTGGCAGGGAATGAGGGTAAGATTAGGAGAAAGGAGGATGGAATTGTTAACAAAGCAAATAACGGACGCACACCTAGGGCAGTGCAAGGCCCCCATCTCCTCCACCCTACGAAGTGGGGAAAGAGGAGGGGAAAAGCTGGAGGCCTGCCTGACAAATAACTCAGGGTGAGAAAGGGACATAAGCCTATGAAAAATTTGCAAAGAGTTGAAGGGAAAGAGATACCAAAATTCTTGATTGCAAAGTGTCATACAGATTCTGCCAGTCTTTCTGTTGGTAAGCAATTCAGTTCCCGACTTAGGCTCCAGGTAATGTGCTTGGCCTCTTCCATCCATTGCTTCCCTGACTCCCGGATTTTGCAAAGGGGCAAGGGGAGACTTCTGCTGGCCCACTGAGAGGGCTGTAGGAATTACCTAGATTTGACAGCCTTATGTTTGACTCATGAACGATTAATTAACTCTATGAATTAATGCACCATTCCTGCTAAGAGAAACTTAGTTGATGTTTCTGAGAATTTATTACATGTGCATTTGCTTTAGGAAGATTTAAATAGTGTCTTTAGTCAAATGTAGATGGTTATCCTAGCTCTATTAATGACCCTAGAACAGAGTCAAATAAAAACTTGTATGCCATACAGAACGTGGCATGCAGTTCAGACCCCAGATGTCTCATCTTACCTCACACTACTGGTCTCTTCCCACCCCACCTTCCAGCCCTTTCCACTGCAACACCACTGAATGGGTAATTTCTCAGTTGGGCCAAAATTCTCAAGTCTTACACACATTGGTTACTCTTCATGGAATCCACACCCCATCTCTACTTAAGTGCTTCCTGTTAGGAAAAAAACCTTTTCTGTCTCCCCCAGAAAGTAAGGGCATGAATCAATTAACCTATCATTCTTTGAGCTGCCCCCTTTAAAGCACTGTGCTTTGATTTGATTTTTTTTCATACTTCTCTACTAGGCTAGGTTTCTGGAGGCTAGAACAAATGTTTGCATACCCAACACCTAGTATAAACCCTAACACAAAGTAAGGGATCAAAAATGCTTTTGAATGAGTGAAAAACAAAGTCTAATGTTCTTAGCAGAACTGACTTTCTCTGGCAGGTTGTATGATCAAGTAAGCAAAAGACTTCCATTTTTCTTAGGAAAAAAAAGTACCTCTTTTATTACTGGCCTAAAGGCCAAAAAATGTCACACTGAACTAATCAAAGTATTTCCAGCATGAAAGCCTTTTGATATTTCAGGCCCTTAACCAGGTTCCTAAATCACCCAGAGCAAAGTTCAAGAATAAAACAGTGAGCTGTTTGAAAATAGGCAACACATTTCTTAATTCAAGAGGCAAAGGCTCTGGATATACATCTTAGCCTCAGAACCCTCATCTAAGAGGTTCTGTTAAGACCTCAGTAATACTACCAAGGAGTCGTCGTATGATTACAGTGTTTGAACACCTTTGTACACTGTCAGAGAATGTGTCAATGCCACAAAGAACATGCCAGCAGTACCACCAAAGTTATGACACTCAAACTATAATCATTGAACCCCTGCTTTCCTCTTCTGGTTATTAGTCCATTATGACTGTCCATTTGTCTTGTTCATCTCCATTCCACAGATATTTTTAAAGGTGTTTATGCACCATTTGAGAGAAAGAAATTTTGAAGGCCAATAGTATCCCAACTGTTTAGTATAGGCAGACTCAAGGAAAGCCACAAGAATGAAAATCTACTTCTGTAAGTGGAGGGCAGGGAAAGACCAAAGAAAGAGGCTGGATACTCCAGTCTGTTAATTAATAGAGTTTATAAAGGGAAACTTACAAGGCAGGTCTTAAGTGGTTGCAAAACAAAAGAGATCCCTGAGCTGCTTGACAGACGCAAAAGAATTACATAGGGTAAAAGGTGGGAATAGTCACAGATAGTAGTACATGAATGCTAGTTACATGCTTGATCAGATCAGGACAACATCCTGTTCCAGGAACCAGCACAGAGCAGGAAGCAAGGGAGGAGTGCTGATTGATGTCAGAATGAACATCAATTAAGATAAGACAGTCTGTAAGGGCAGGCTGTGGAAAGCAACCTCCATTCTGGCCCAGGGCCAGCTTCTGGGACAACAAGCAGTCACGTCATGAAACAGTCTCTTCCACACTCCATCCCTTGTGACTGGCTCTTACGATCTCACATGCCTACCTCTTCCACAAGCTCCCTTGAGTGGTCAGTGAGGGGCTTCAATAGCAGGGAAGTAGCTTGCTTAGTTGCCAATTGACTGCATTGGAGATACAGCAGCAACAGTACAGACATACAAAAAAAAAAAAAAAAGAACAAAGAAGCAGTCCAAGTATTAGTAACAGTTTTTTTATCATGCCGCTCCCTAGGACCAAAGCCAGTGGTTTAGTGGGTCACTTAGACTTAGGGTCAAATCATTTAACTTGAGTTTCATACTTGCTAACAAAGAAAAATATTAACAGATTCGTCTAGTATAAAAACACACTTAGTTTAGATAATGGCACAGGTGTCCCCTGCCCTACCCCCATAACTGGATGTCACAAAAACAGTAAAAGTCTAAGATCAGAAAGACAAATATTTCATAGGGACTTGAATTGGGAGATCTTCTTTGAGAATTACATTTATAGCCTGATCTTCAGATGTTAGTGTAGCTTCAATCTATGGAAACTGGCCAAACTATAAACCATACATGCTGGCCAGGTGAAGTGGTGCTCCCTCACCTAAGGAGGTAAATAGGGGACTAGGACCCCTACTTTCTCCCATCTTTCATGGTGAATGTACCAGTCCACAAATGATGTGTCTCCATGGGTCCTGACTACATTAGGATGCCAGGGTCCAATCAGAGACTGAGCAGTTCTTCATCAATTGTTAGCACACACAGGCCCAGGAAAAAGCCCCAAGAGTAAAAATCTACCTCTGCGAGTGGAGGGCAGGGAAGGGCTATACAAAGAGGCTAGCTTCTCCAATCTGGTAATTAATAGAGTTTATTAAGGGAAACTTACATACAAGGAATGTCTTGGGTTACTGCAAGATGAAACAGATCCCCAAGCTACTTGGTAGATGCCAAAGAATTATACAGGGTAAAGGGGAGAGGGATATAGTCATGGGTACTAGTACATGAATGCTACCAGGTACTGGAAATTACATGCTTGATTAGGTAGGACAACAACCTATTCCAGGAACCAGCACATGGGAGGAGGCAAAGAAGGGGGGCTGATTTATGTCAGAGTAAACACCAGTTAAGATCAGACAGTCTGTAAGGAGGGGTTTGCAGAAAGCAACCTCTGTTCTGGTCCAGCTCTAGCCCACACAGGACAGGCAGAGGTCACATCATGGAACAGTCTTTCCTCACACCAACTCAACCTTGAACAACCTCTCCAACCCATTGCAACAAAGAGCACTTTGTAACCATGGGCTAGTCAGGACACTAAAATGGAAGAATTTTGTGTGTCTGACCCCCATCTATACAGAGCTTTGCCTCAGCTGGACCTTTGGGAATAAGGGCTGAGAAGAAGAAAATAAATTATCTGTGAATGAGGACATCTGGATCTTGCTCAAACATCTGAGGAAATGGAAAGGATTTTCTCTCCTGATTCAAAGTTGTGAACTAGACCAAAAAAAAAAGTGATAATGGTAAGGGGTGTCATTTATCATCTCTCTCTTTTTTTTTAAGATTTTATTTATTTTTTTAGATAGAGGGTAAGGGAGGGAGAAAGTAAGGGAGAGAAACGTCAATGTGTGGTTGCCTCTCACACACCCCCTACTGGAGACCTGACCCACAACCCAGGCATGTGCCCTGACTGGGAATCGAACCAGCGACCCTTTGGTTCACAGACCAGTGCTCAATCCACTGAGCCACACCAGCCAGGGCTATCATCTCTTTATGCAACTCCACTTCGCAGATTAAGTCCCGAGGAATCTAACGGTTCTCAGCCTCCTCCTTGCCATGCATTAGGACTTCCAGTTGTCATTTCCAAAGAAATGAAAAACCATAATTAAAATAACTTTATAAGATTTTTAGATGTCCCCATGTATGTAAATTTTGTTATCCCTTATCTCAATCCCAGTATAAATAGCAATAAAAGTATTAAAATAAAAAAGGCCTGGGCACAAACTTCCAGTTATAAAATAAGTCTTGGGTATATACTGTATAAGATAGTGACTACAGTTGTGTTGTATATTTAAAAATTGCTAAGAGTATAGATCTTAAGATCTATAGTAAGTTCTCATCACAGGAAAAAAAAATGTAAGGGAACCATGGCGGGCTGGGTTCCAGCCAAGATGGAGACGTAGGTAACTTAGCTTCCTCACACAACCAAAAGAAACCAATTTAAAAACAATAAAACAGAAGTGCCAGAAAATAAAACTTCATGGAACTCTGACAATAAAGGAGTTAAAGAAACATTCATCCAGACCGGTAGGAGAGGCAGAGACAGGCAGTCGAGTGGAGAGGACAAACAGCAAGGTGAGGCTGCAGATGGTGCAGAAGAGGCAGGGCTGGCTGTCGGGGAAACTGAAGACTCAAAACCTGTAGCTGTAAAATACTGGGGGCTATGACAGCAGGAGAAACTTCTAATCTCACAGGAGAGTTCCTTGCCAAGTGGGGCTAGAGCCCCGTAAGGGTGCAGCATTGTTCCCTCTTGCACCCCTCCCCTACAGAAAGTGCCACAACACAACAAAGGGTTGCCCCACCCTGGCAAATACCTAAGGCTCTGCCTCCTAACAACATAACAGGTACATCAAGACAAAAAATAGGGCCCAAATGAAAGAACAGATCA